CACACACACACACACACACACACACACACACACACACACACACACACACACACACACACACACCCTTTCTATCTATTTACCTATGTGTGTGTGTGTGAAAACTGAAAACTAGGTTTAGCAGTTGTCTGATCTGTTCTCTACAGTTTGTATCAGCTCTCTGGTGACCCTCTGACTGAGCGTCAGAAACTCATGAACATTAAAGTCTCTGAGTGGAAGAAGAGCTCAACCGTATTTTAACATGGTTACTCTCTTCGTTGTATGCTGCTGCACTTTAACTTGTGGAACACAACATGCAAACACATCCTTTGGTATGTCGTGTCCATTTCCATATTATAAAAATAATGATGGTGGGCCGCCAGGACCAAAAAACGCCCGGGCCGTTTTTTGGTCCCAGTCCAGCCCTGGTTGGTTGTTTTGAAGAGTTTCAGTGCTTAAGGTACGTGTTGAGTAGCTATGATGCTTTGCTTAGCGGTGGCAGCCATTTTGAATTGAGTTTTTTAAAAAGTGTAGCTCTACATCTAAGAATTACCTAAAAGATAGACCCCCTCACCTATTCATTATTTCTGGCAGTGGTGGGCAGCACTGATCTAAAAATTAGTTCCACTAGCCCTAAAGCACTAACTCAAATATTTAAGTCTCCTAATTCTAAAGCACTAAAATAACCCAGTCAATCCATGAATTCTTCAAAAGACAATGAGTCACATATTGCCATGTTGCTCTCTTAATTCTTATCATTGACATTCCACAGCTGTATTTAGGTTCATATATTGTCATACATGAGAAAAGTCAACTAATAGCCCTCGTTTTGCAGGAGTGGGGTAGGTCCTCAGAATCTCAGAAACCCAGTCTCTTCTCTTTGTTGCGTTTACAGTTGATATTAACCAACACAATTTTGTAGTGACCCTTGATATTTTTATATAATTTCCTTGTGAATACTTTCTAAAATCCTGCAAAATGTGATTAAAAGTAGCCATAATTTTAAGAACCCGCCCAAAGTAGTTTTTTCCAGCCCAACGTGTTCAAAAGAAGCGGAAACCAGCCCAATCTGGCAACACTGTTAATAATAAACAAGAGTGTAAGGCTATGTTCCAAATGACACATAAAAATGTATTTCTATAAAAATAATTTGTTAATTAATTTATATTTCTTCAATAATATTTACAGATTGCTTGGCTGAACCAAATATTTGAATTTTATATAATAATCTGTGTGAGGTTTGAAGTATTTCTA